CTTTTCTCAGATCACCAAATACACTATGAATAAATACATTAAATCCTTGGTTGGTGGTGTTGAAATAAACTGAAATGAATTGAATTAAATATAAAACACCTATAGGTGGTTTTGATCAGCCTCTGAATGGACTGAACTCTGGTAAAAGGGGTTTTTGACATTTACTTGACTAACCTTTTCCTCTAATTCCACTCTCAGCATTGAATACATATTTAGAACAATTACAAATATGAACCTGAACTTACTCAGTTATAGATGTGCATCCAATAAATATTTTTCAGAAGGTTTCATTAAAATCTGTGCCATGGTTCATACAATGTTTTGCACACAAACATTGTCTCCAATAGAGGTCAGATAATTTCTTATTGTGCAAACAAAAAAAAGAAGGGCCTGGTACGGCTAGGACAGTTAACGGATGAGAGATTACAATTAGACAGAGAACATGGTCAATACCCCTTTCAGGATCTAATGAAAAATTGTTTGTTACTCCAAACTGAATTTAATACTTTGTCTACACAGCAGGCAGAATATTTAATTTCTAAATCTAGACAGAGTTACTATGAACACAGTGAAAGGGCTGGACGTCTGCTTGCACATCATGTATGGCGACAGTCAGCCAGCCAAACTATTCCAGTTATAAACAGCAACCAGGGGGCTGCATGTCACGACAATGTTGGAATGAATACGTTTCAGTAAATTCTACCAGTCAGTGTATATGTCTGAGTCATCAGCTACCCTATCAGACTTAGAGAACTTTTTTAAAGATCTTAAACTTCCTTCAGTGAATCCTGATCTTGCTGGGGATTTGGAGAGGGTGTTCTCTGTAGCTGAGATAAACTCCGCAATCAACAATATGCAAAACAGGAAATTTCCTGGACTAGATGGCTTCCCATCTGAGTTTTTTATTTTATTTTATTTTTTATTAATTAATTAATTTATATATATTTTTTAACATTCATTCAACCGTTATTTAGACAGGTTAATCCCACTGAGCCTCGGGAACTCATTTACAAGAGAGACCTGATTTCTTAACAAAGAGTGATGACAACAGTGAGTAACAATGACAACAATAGACAGTCACAAAAGGGGCGTACAACATTTAAATTTCTGACTTTTTTTTTAACAAACCAAAACAAAAAAGCAACCAAAAGGACAGTCAAAAGGAAAAGTAGCGAAAAGAAAAAAAACAAACAAACAGCTAGATATGCCGTGTAGAAAACTAAAAACAGGAGCATGTCTGCATTGGTTTTTGCCAGGAACTTAACAGATATTGACTTAACAGCCACTTAGAGAGGTCAAGGTTGAGAGCTTCAGATCTTTTTGCAAGATATTTCAGGAAACAGGAGAGGAGTGGGAGAAGGCCGTTTTGCCTAGTTCAGTCCGTACATATCCGAACATACAACAAAGAACATAGAGCATCAGTCAAACATACACAAACTAATTAAACAGGCATTAACATACTTTCTACATACACTAAAAAGGGCCGCCAAGTGTCCCAAAATCTTTTTACAGAACCATTCATCGTATACGTTATTTTCTCCAAATGGATATGATACATCGCCTCACTTATTCCAGGCCGGGGTGTGGGGGTCCTTCCAGTTGCACAATATTAGCCTTCTAGCCAGAAGGGAGACAAAGGCAATCACATCCTCCTTGCATTTGTTGAAGTACATATCCACCGGGACCACCCCAAACAGTGAAATGAGTGGTAATGGGTGTACAGTTTTACCACATATTCCAGAGAAGGTGTCAAAAATGGATTTCCAAAAAGTATGCAGTTTGGGACAGGTCCAAAATGTATGTAAGAGTGTAGCTGGAGTTTGTTTGCAACGATTGTATGTGGGGTCCACGTCGGCTTTGATCTTGGACAACCTGTCTTTGGACCAATGCAACCTGTGCACTGCTTTGAATTGAATCACAAGGTGTCTCAGACAGATCGACGATGAGTAAATGTTCTTAATGATCCTTCCCAAGATTGAGTCTGATATGGATTCCTCCAAGTTTGTTTCCCATTTCAGTTTAAGGGAGTCCAAACTGGATTCATGGTATGAACTAAGTAGTGTATAAATCTTGCTAAGGGCCCCCTTGGTATCAGACCAGCATTCCAAAATCTTAGCCACAAAATGTTTAGAGGGGTAATAAAGAAAACAATCAGAGTTAGATCTCACAAAATGTCTCAGCTGCAGATATCTAAAAAACTCTGACTTGTGAACATTAAACTTCTGTACTATCTGTTCAAAAGAAGCAAATCTACCATCATCATAGAGATCACACAGTGAATGCACTCCCCTCAAGACCCAGGTGTCAAAAACCATCAGCTACTGAGGGGTAAACAGGATTATTTGACACAGATGCCAAAATCTGTAACTCTGTAGAGTGAAATTCCCTCCTGAACCGATTTCAAATCTTAATTGCCCAGATCACAATTGGGTTAGAAGTGGGATTTTTTTTCATTTACCCTTTATTTATACAGGTAGTCTCATGGAGCCACGAGAACTCATTTTCAAGAGAGACCTGTTTAGGGAGCAGATGGGGGTTAAGGGCCTTGCTCATGGGCCCAGAGTGGGGCAAATGAGGATGGGGGCAAGTGTGGGTACTTCACCTACCCCACCCACAATTTTTTGGGGGGGATGTTGGTATTGATTGTTTAAAGGGCAGCCGAGAGCAAAGTAATGCAGAAGGAGAACTGGATCTAATTGAGGCCCTTTTCAAGGCCAATCAAATCACCAATCTGCAACTACACAGTGTCACTCAAAACAAATGGTCTCTGGCCATAACAATGTGTGTATGTGTTTATTTGGCCTATTCAGATGCCGTTTTACCTACTTTCTGTATGCATTTAGTTGTTTGTTTTCTAGCACCATGACAGTTTTATTTATTGTTCTGTTTTTCCAACTGTTAATAGTAAAATAGTAACCATAAAAGTTATAATAGTTGTAACAGTAACTGTAATAGTTGTTGTTCTCACCAATATTTTCTGAGTGACTACATTTTTATTTTATGTGAAAATGTGTTTTAAAATGTGTGTGTACAGTGTGTGTATATATATATATATATATATATATATATATCGAATAAAACATTGACATTGGCCATCTCCACATCATTGCATTTA